CAACCAACCCCCTCCCCCTCCCCCCTCCACCCCCGAATGACCAACAACCACCTACAGTGCCTCTTGGGACCCTACCGTTTATATACCCTCTGAGAGTTCCCAGAATTCTAAATATCTATCGCACAATCACAGAAACTATCTGCAGTTGGCAAAACCATGCCCCTGCTAGAGCACGAGGCAAGTCATAGTCAGCTGCTGTGGACAGTCCAAAGCAACCCTACATCCCACACCCAGGATTAAAGTGAAAGCACATTCTTACACTTTTGTGTTTTAGAGAAACCAAAATTCCAAGATTGTCACTACAGCTACCAGTCCTGGTGACCCACATGATGGGAGAATTAGCTCCCTCGTTGCCATGGGACATCATGTATGAATGTATACACACACAAGTAAATACAGAAATGAAATTTTTTAAAAAAACTTAAGGGCCAGTGAGATAGCTCAGCTGATGTACCTGATGACCAGAGTTCAATCCCAGAACCCATGTAAAGGTGGAAGGAGAGAGATCATCACAGAGTTTACCCTCTGACTTCCGTACGTGTGCCATGGCATATGACCACCGTCCCGTATAATAGCAAATAAAATTATTTAAAACTGTTTTCTGGCTAGAGGTGTAGCTCCCCCCACCCCCAGCACCAAAGCAACAACCAAAGAAGCCTGGTACGTGCTTCTAGAAAGTTCGTTATCTGAAGATAGACACCGTAGCTTTCGAATGTGAGCGGGAACTCGTAAAAGAGAACATTCTCTGAAGACCCCTTTTCCTCCCCACAGCTGCTCCCAGCCAGTTCTTTGCTGGTGAGGTCATGCATTTCATTCTAACCCATGGCTGGGAGGACTGGGCATTCTCAGCATGCCAGGAAGAAACAGAGGCGTAATTACACCCTGGCACAACTAGCAGGTGGTAAAGTTGAAATTCCAACCCAGAACTGCCTGACTACGGGGTTCTGAAGAAACATGGGGGCTTCCTCAGCCCCAAAGTCATCAGAGCTGTGTCAAAACAGAAAGCCAGAAACAGAGGGAGGAGGATCAGAGCAAGAGGGCCTTTTGTCTCTTTTCTTTGGTCTTGTTTCCCTTTAAAATAATGGTTCTCAACCCTACTAATCCTGAGACCCTTTAATATAGTTCTCATGTTGTGGTGACCCCCGACCATAAGATTGTTTTGTTGCTACTTCATAACTGTAATGTTGTTGCTGTTATAAATTGTAAATATTTTTGGAAGTAGAGCTGTCTGAGGGGTCGCGACCCACAGGTTGAGAACTACTGCTTTAAACCATGCTGTGAGGGAGTGGGAATAAACAGTGTTCCCATGTCTCCTATCAAAGCTCTGTACGGGCCTTGTGGAGATGCCGAATAATCACTACTTGATTGAACATTTGAGGAAAACAGCAGGGAAAGACCTGAATGTGCAGTAGAAGAGTCTGAATAAAGGAGCCAGAGAATGAATGAACTCACTCTCATGAAGTCGGCTGTGAGGACAACTGTGATCCTGCTGGGCACAGTCATGCTGACACCTGCCCCCGAGTTTCCGTAGAAACGTCGAAAGTGACTGATGCTAGGCATGGTGGCACACACCTTTAATCACAATAGAGGCCACCGATAGCCGCCTTTCCCAAACCCTTCCTACCTGGACACACTGGCAGTGGGTGGCACTCAGCTGCCGTGATCTCTTTAACTACAGCAGCACACTTTGTCCAGATGGAGCCTTCCTTCCAAAATCTCCAACACCGATTGCAGAAGCCTCTAGATTAAAGTACTAAACAGGACCCTGCAATCGTCAGAGCTCCAGTAATACTGGTTTTGGACAATTTCTCATCCATACTACCAACTCTAATAAACTAGGAATATGCACAGGACCAGTGGGAAGGTGGCTTTTTGGCTTTGAGCAAGACATCTTCTCTCTATCGTAGGGTCTCCATTTGTTAACTGAACATTACAACCTTGTAACCAGAATCTGGCACAAAGTAGGTGTTCAGCCCATGCACTGTGAGTGGATGAATGGGAGGGCTAGAGACGACGAACAAATAATACTTTGCACAGAATAATCACTTTTGGGTTTCTAAGATGAAAACAGCAGAAACTGGAAGCCCTTTCCTTCTCTCCTCGCTACTACAGTGCTCAGGGAGGGACCTTTACAGGGCAGGGTGCCTCCTCCACAGCTCAGGCACAGCCAGGAAAGGACCAGACTTCACTCCCAGAGGATGCGCAGCGTGTACCAATCTGATGAACCTGCAGGTGGCGCCCGCGCTACCAGTAATCGTCCAACAGAGGAGGAGCAGAGCTCGGTTGCAAGGCTGAGGAGAGGAAAGCAAGGCTGAGGAGAGGAAAGCAAGGGCCCGGAGGAGAAGGTTCTTTCCCAAAGCTCTCGATCAGTTAAAAAATAGATAGATAGATAGATAGATAGATAGATAGATAGATAGATAGATATAGATAGATAAAAATAAACGGCAGAGAAAGCACACTTCACACTGTCGCCAGCGTGGCGCATCGCACATATTTCCATCAAACAAAGCTAACGGTTTGCATCACTGTGATTAATTTTAGGAGTCAGCGCTGAACGCCAGTCCCTGGCATAAAAAGCCTAAATGTGAAGAATACTGTAGATGCAAAGGCTGTCTTTTGGACTATCTGGAGTGAGCCCACGCATCTGATTTTTCTTAGGAGGACTGATTATAACTGCAATGTGCCAGATGCTGTTCTGAACACTCTAGAAAACTCGCTTAATTCTCATGACAACCTACTAAGATCATACTCATTCTACAGCTCAGAAAATTAGGACTATAAAGCTGGCAGGTCCTATGTTCAGTAAGAAAGACACACTTGGGACCAGGTATGGCTTTATGATCCAAGCCAGGGCTAAACAAACAACGGAGGGGAAGGGGGGGTGGGAAGTCTAAACATTGGTTCTCCCTAAAAATCTTGGAAGGTGAGAGAATGCTCTTTTAAAAATTCAGATTTGAGGGACACGGAAGCGTAAGTCGGTGGTAGAATATGTGTTTAGTATGTTGTTACTAGATTCACTCCCTAGCACCAATAAATTACATTCTATTGTAATTTAAAATAATTCAGATATAACCCTGACCTTCGACCATGTGTTTTTATAGAATTGTAGTAGGACCTCAATTTTTGTATATATAATTTCTTAGTAATTCTGAAGAAGCCAGTCAGATGGCTTTTGAAAGGCTTATCATGGTGTTTAATTTGGACCATGTACAATCAGCCTGTCACATGGGTAGGGTTCACCCACAATGAACCAGACACAAGTGGAAAATATTTAGATTTTTTAAAAAAGTTCATCTATACTGAATATGTATAGATTTTTCTTTCCATGTCCTAAGCACAACAAAACAGTATCAAAACTCATATAGCCTTACATTGTAGTCGTTGTTATATCTAGATATGATTATGCAGGAGAACATACATAAGGTATTATATATATATATATATATATATATATATATATATATCAAACATTATGATGGAATAGACTTGAATATCCAGGGATAGAGGTTCTGTATCCAGGATGCTGAGAACAACTGTGTAGTACATACCTGTTAAGTTTCAAACCCTGACTGAGGTGCCTATTTAACATATTAAAGTGCATCTGGCCTCCAGATTCTCTTAGCATCCCTAGGCTTTACATAGTTATGGCTGGCATACCCTGCCCTCTACCCTGAACTCGAGCTGTGCTGTTCTTCCCTATATAATCCAGACATATTGGTTACCCACACTTCCTTTTTGTACCTTTGGCCTCCTGACTGCTGCACTTGGTTCCCCCCCTTAACTTTTCCCTCCCCCTCAGGGGAGGCTCAGGGTCAAGACTATTCCGGACTCTCCCAGATGTGTCAGCTTCTGGCTGTGTCTCCCTTTGATCTACAATAAGCTTTCTTTTTCACCATACCCAGGAGCAGTCATGTCCTTTCCTTTTTCTTTTTCCTTTCTTTTTTTTCTTTTCTTTTTTTCTTTTTTCTTTTTTTCGTTCAATACCCATATAACCTCTACAGACCCCTTCGTGGAGGGCAGTGGAGGTGAGGGTTGGGAGTGGGCGTGTGGGAATGGCGAGAAACTTGATGATGATCAAAGAGTTGGGGCTGCATGTGGCTCAGTGATAAAAGTGTTGCCAGGAAATGGGAGGTGGTCCTAGTCTTGATGAAAATAATTTTTTTAAAAAATGGACTAAAAAAGAAGTTGAGAAGCATCTCATGGGCAGGCAAGCTGAAAATCGCAGCTGCGGCCAGGAGGAGAGAGGTAAGAAAAGTCCAAGAAAGCAGAAGGCTGGGCAACGGAGGTCTCACAGCAGCTTTTGCTGAGGGGGTAAAAGGGCGAGAGAACTGTCTTCTGGGAATAATGTCCAAGGTGTCCAGGCAAGCAGGGTCGGCATTTTAGCCGTTTACTAAGCATCTTCCCTTTCCTTTGAAATTTTAAATCTTAAAGAGGGGGAATTTGCAGTGTTTCCCTTTCTTAAAATTGGTGTGTTGTCAAAGAAACGGGAGGTGGGAGATGAAGCCGATCTGGAGGGAGTCCATCCTCAGTGGTGCCCGAGTCGGCTAATGCCTGTCTAAGTACCCAACAGATATTATACAAACTGGGTGGCTGGTTTGTTTATGAGAGAGGTTCTCATACACTCCAGGCCAGCTCTTAACTTTTGATCTCCTGGGGGCCACCTCCCCAGTACTAGAATGATAGGAATGAGACATCAAGCCAGGCTAGAAAGGGTCCCAAAGCCCTGGGTTCGGTCCCGACACAAAACCAGAAACTGAATCCAGAAAAGCATCGATAAGCTGTTTCAGGCCCTACAAAGCGGTTCCGTTAGGGTTTCCAGCCTGAGGTCCTGCCTACTCCGCTACCCGGAGAGACCATGCCGAGACTCAACTCCAGCCGCAGGGGGCGCTGTCCCACTTTCCTGAGGCAGGAAGCGGAGACTCGTATCTCTTCTGTGCTTGGGCTATAGGAAATGTCATTTCCGGGCCTGCGCACACGCCACCGGAACCGGAACTGGCGAGTGAGCAGTAGTGGTTCCTCCAGGACCCAGAGTCGGCCCCTGGCCTACCTCCTGCGCCGCTGTTTGCAGGCGGTCACCAGGCAGTTTCGTCCCTTGGTGACCTCGGACCGCAGCATAAGCCTCAAACGCCATTACAATGCCCCCTCCCACTTGCTCCGAAAGACCATGTCTTCCCCTCTGTCCAAAGAACAGCGGCAGAAGTAGAGCGTCTGCTCCATGCCTATTCGCAAGGACAAGGTCCAGGTACATCCAAGGGTCCTCGAGTTCTAGTTACCCAGGGGCATAGCTCATTCACGCCCTTAACATGAAACCCTGCAGGAGTTACATACCACCAAGACCTCAGCAAGGCGGCAGAGTGACGGCCGACGTGCTAGACCGGAGCCACTACAGTGCATTGAGTCCCTTTTGCCCTTGTCACAATCTCCAGATACTGCTAGATGATCTTCCCCCGTTGAGAACCATTGTTTTAGGGAATGAAGTGGGATAAAGTGAGGGGCTTTGCGTATTGGACATCTGATGGTCGGGGGGGGGGTTAATTAGTAAGGAAATATAACTGGAGTGAAGTGGAAAGAGTAAGAACAAGGCCCGTGACAGGCAGGCCGCGCTGAGCAGTTCCGAGTGCGCACTGCTCTTACAAAGGATCCGAGTTTAGCTCCTAGCACCCATGTCCGGCAGCTCACAACTGCCTGTAATTCCAGCTGCAGGGGGATTGCATGTCCTGGCTCCTATGGACACTGCAGTCATGTGACATACACAGACTTATACACATCATTACACATATGCCTTTAATCCCAGCACTGAGGAGGCAGAGGCAGACAAATCTCTAAGCTTGAGGCCAGCCTGGTCTACAGATCTAGTTCAAGGACAGTCAAAGCTTAGAGAGAGACCCTATCTTGAAAAACCAATATGAACCTGAAAATGTTTGCCTTATTTAAAGGAGAAAGTCAAGAGCCTTCAGGCCACCGCAACCTTGGAAATCACTCTCCTTTGCAAAGAAGCTGGAAAAATTCATATTCTCTTCTTTCTCCACATAGCCTTCCTGCTACTGCTCTGTTCCCCATTTCATAGTCTGGCTTCTCTAAAGAGTTGTCTACACCTGCCAGGCATGGTGATCTACGCTTTTATTCCCAGCACTCAGGAGATAGAGCCATGCGAATCTCTCAGGCCAGCCTGGTCTACAGAGCAAGTCCCAGGACAGCAAGGAGACCTTGTCTCAAAAGACAGAGACAAAGAGAGAGACAGAGAGAGGCCTACACTGTGTTCCCATTCACTAGTGGACGCTCTCCAGTCTCATCCCTGTCATGGCTGCTTAGGCTGAGGTTATCAGTAACTTGTGTGGCTAAATCCAGTGGCCACATTCATTGGAGGGGACACCACCACATCCATGTAAGGATGTTCATGCTTACAGTTGCTTGCAGCGTCTCAGACTTCTTTTCTGCTTATTTCTCTCTTCTGATCCCTAACTCCTGCAGTTCAAGACCTGGGTCTGGTCTAGTATTTCTCTGTCTGTACACATACATCAATAGCATTCTATTTTCCAAGCTAAGATGTGTGCTCTGTGGTAGCAACTCCCCACTTTTTTTTATTTAATTTGAGACATAATGTCACTATTTAGCTTAAGCTGGGGTTTGTTTGCTGATGGTGCTCGGAAGCAAGCCTGCTAGGCAGGCACTCTGCTACTAAGCCTGGGCTCAGACTTCTAGAGCAGTCTTGGTCCTAACATTCTCTCTCTCTCTCTCTCTCTCTCTCTCTCTCTCTCTCTCTCTCTCTCTCTCT